CAACAAACTTCCGACGAAGAGTGACTGGCAAAGAAGACAGGACTCCAGGTGAACATAGAGAAGATGGAGACGGAGGTGTTGAAGATAGCCAACTAATCAACAACAGCAGTAGCAACGACAAACAGCATCAATCACCATCATTGAGAGAGACTTGACAGAGGTTACTTCCTTCACTTATTTGGGCAGCAATGTTTCAACTACAGTCATCACAGATTAGGGTGTTAAGGCCAGAATCAGAAAGACAAGGCAGACCTTCGTGGAAATCTGCCGTACTCAACATAAAGAACAAAATTCTGATTTACAACATAAACGTTAAGTTGATTAGTACTTCTACACGGGTCAAGGACTTGGCCAGTGCGTCACGAAAAGCATTTCCAACAGGTTTCAGACTCTTTTCAAAAGCTGCTTTCTCTGGCTTGATACTGACGATCAAATGGCTGGCCAGAAAGAATAATCAACAAGAAAACTTTTGTGAACGAATGAATTCATATTCCTGCATTTATTCCCCTTGATGAATTCGAATAAAGCAAGAACAACAGTGGTTTGTGCAGAATAATATGGTACCATCATTTATTTCGTAGGCTTCTCATCAGCTGCTTATAGCCTAAATAAATTATAAGGTTTGCGTACAGAAAAGTTTTAATATACTTGCAAATTTTCACATGTTGTCAGTTGACAAAAAGTTCCACAGTAAGTGAAGAGTGCTCAGAAAATTGCGCTTATATAGTTTTTACACAGGCAGTTCAAGTTTAAACAAAATAGATGTATGCATACAATGGTAAAAGAGTTACGTAATAAAGACGAAATATGAGTTAGATACAGAGTGACTAATAAATTAGGTAACAGTGTACTGAGTTCAACTCAAATCATAGAAACAAGAGACAAGCAAAATTACAGAATATAAAAGGGGGTGAGGTTAAAGACAAAGATTACGTAATCAGATGAGAGAATAAAGACATTCAGTTACCAGGGCAAAGAAAGATTAATAACTGCTTCTTTCTGAACACATAAATCTGGTTTCTAGCGTTTGATAGAGATTGCTTCGGCAAACTTGAGGAGAATGGAATTCCTTTGTCTATTGATAATTTTGAAGGATTTCTCGATTTCTACCTCATGACCCGTGTCAAGAAGGTGTCTAGTAATAGCGCTACTATAAGAGTTTGTTCCCTTGAGACGTAGGCTTTTTGGCACATGTTCAGAAAATCGGAGGTGTGCCCTTCTTTCTTTTCTCCCAAAGTAATTGCTCCCGCAGATACACGTAAATTTGTATATACAGTTAGAGTTAACATGAGAAGGGTATCTATCGACTTTTGACTGCACCAAAGAGCATGTTGTTCGATGGACGGGAACCAACTTAGCTACTGGATAGGCTCTGGCTAGTGATGTTCTCAGTCTTCTGTTGACCATTTCTGCAATGTTTTCACCTTTAAAATCTAGTTAAATGAAGACAGGCTTTTTTCAACTGTGATTTGTTTGGTATTTGAGCCTTCACATCTTCCATATTTGTTAATGAATCTCTGAGGATAACCGTTGTTTTTCAGCACCTTTTCGAGAAACATAAATTCCTCCTCTAGTTTCTCTGTAGAGCATATTCTCCTTGCTCTATAGTACAGAGTCTTGACTAGTGCTAGTTTATAGCTATTTGGACGAAAACTATTAAAATGTAAGCATTGTCCATTCCATGTAGGCTTTCGGTAAATTGACCTCTGGAGATTACCATCTTCTAGGAGTTGCATGGCGATGTCAAGGAAATGGAACTTCCCATCATTTTCATGTTCCATAGTAAATACAGTATTTGTATGTGCTTTGTTGAATAGGCTGAGTCGGTAGGAGGCATGACTTTCGTTGTTGCATACTACAAATGTGTCATTGACAAATCGACAATAGGAAGTTGTTTGATCGATTGCATGCTTCAACTTTGTTTTCTCAACGTTTGACATGAAGATATCTGCTAAAACAGGGCTAAGTGGACTGCCCATGGCTACACCATCTATTTGTCGGTAAAGAGACATCGCCATGCAACGCCTAGAAGATGGTAATCTCCAGAGGTCAATTTACCGAAAACCTACATGGAATGGACAATACTTACATTTTAATAGCTTTTGTCCAAATAGCTATAAACGAGCACTAGTCAAGACTCTGTACTATAGAGCAAGGAGAATATGCTCTACAGAGAAACTAGAGGAGGAATTTATGTTTCTCGAAAAGGTGCTGAAAAACAACGGTTATCCTCAGAGATTCATTAACAAATATGGAAGATGTGAAGGCTCAAATACCAAACAAATCACAGTTGAAAAAAAGCCTGTCTTCATTTAACTAGATTTTAAAGGTGAAAACATTGCAGAAATGGTCAACAGAAGACTGAGAACATCACTAGCCAGAGCCTATCCAGTAGCTAAGTTGGTTCCCGTCCATCGAACAACATGCTCTTTGGTGCAGTCAAAAGTCGATAGATACCCTTCTCATGTTAACTCTAACTGTATATACAAATTTACGTGTATCTGCGGGAGCAATTACTTTGGGAGAAAAGAAAGAAGGGCACACCTCCGATTTTCTGAACATGTGCCAAAAAGCCTACGTCTCAAGGGAACAAACTCTTATAGTAGCGCTATTACTAGACACCTTCTTGACACGGGTCATGAGGTAGAAATCGAGAAATCCTTCAAAATTATCAATAGACAAAGGAATTCCATTCTCCTCAAGTTTGCCGAAGCAATCTCTATCAAACGCTAGAAACCAGATTTATGTGTTCAGAAAGAAGCAGTTATTAATCTTTCTTTGCCCTGGTAACTGAATGTCTTTATTCTCTCATCTGATTACGTAATCTTTGTCTTTAACCTCACCCCCTTTTATATTCTGTAATTTTGCTTGTCTCTTGTTTCTATGATTTGAGTTGAACTCAGTACACTGTTACCTAATTTATTAGTCACTCTGTATCTAACTCATATTTCGTCTTTATTACGTAACTCTTTTACCATTGTATGCATACATCTATTTTGTTTAAACTTGAACTGCCTGTGTAAAAACTATATAAGCGCAATTTTCTGAGCACTCTTCACTTACTGTGGAACTTTTTGTCAACTGACAACATGTAAAAATTTGCAAGTATATTAAAACTTTTCTGTACGCAAACCTTATAATTTATTTAGGCTATAAGCAGCTGATGAGAAGCCTACGAAATAAATGATGGTACCATATTATTCTGCACAAACCACACTGTTGTTCTTGCTTTATTCGAATTCATATTCATGGTACACTTGAAGCACAACAATTCTTCAAGGATCCCAGTGTTGTAATATAAAACTGCTATCGAAATCTGATAAAAAAAACAACTTATTTCCAAAAACTGAGAAGATTACAAAACCAAATGTGAGTTTTAATAGTCATCTGTTTCATCCTATTGTCAGATATACATAATAGTAATACATAATAGTAATTTTTGTGTTTCTTCTCTCTCTATAAAGGCAGATAGAAGATAGACACAATTTGAAATGCTTACTTAAGTCAGTATTACATTACATGGAGCTGTCAGTGATCCCTGTTATTGTAATCATCAAGACTGGTACCACTGGTGATTGATTGATTGATTGACACACGTCAGTTGTACTCGTCAATGATGTTTTTTCTCCTCTGAACAATGTTGCCAATCATCAATCAGTCATAATCACAGCTGGTTGTAGACGGGAATACTACTACTGCTACTACTGCTCTATTTGACAAGTAATAAATACAGTCAGCAATTACTTGTTACAAAACTGTCAGATCAACTTTTCCTAATTGAAACGAAAAAAACAAACAAACAACTAATATGAAGAATCCGGATGGTAATCACAATTGATTGCAGTCAGTAGTCAGATTACACATGAAATGTTGTTGTTGTGTTAACTAATTATTCATCAATGTTTGAAGGTTTTAGGAGAAAGTATAGCACACACATTGCTTCATAATTTTGACAATTTTTGTAATTTCCATCCATCATTGTCATCCTCAGCACCTCATCATCATCATCCTCGTCACTATTCTGACTAGGCTTCCTATCGAATTCTGTTTATTTATGCATATATTTGTGAAGAATTATCTGGTGTTGTTATTATTATTATTATTACTGTCGAAGACATTTGTCATCGCCCAACTGTTGTGGCTTATTACCAGTGACAGGTGAATATGAATTCGATGAAATAGTGTCTACTGTGTGTCTACAAGTCCTGTGTAAAACGTGTGCCCACACGAACACATTTATTCGGGGGATTATTATCTATGTGAACAATGAATAGAACTCATAGAGAGACCAAAACTTTTGTACGTGTGTACACAAATGAAACACAACCTCACATTCACACACACATATATATACACGCACACTCAGGTTACTGGATCTACGAGTGTATCTGTGTTTGTGTGTGTGAATGTGTGTATTTGTGTGTGTTGAGTTCAATAGGCCAAAGAAAAGTTTTCGTTTAAGACTTTTTTTTATAAATGATTGACAAGCTCATGATCATTCGATTGGTTACTATGCCTGTGTGTAACAGTATGTGTGTGTATGTGCGTGTATGTACATAAATATATGTGCGTGTGTGCACATGTGTGTAACTACTAGTGTGCACTTTTACCACACTACTGGAAAAAATAATCATAAACTGTCTAGGTAGGTACTTTATCTTTCGAATGTGGTGTGAATATTATTATCATTATTATTAGCACAAAAGTAGAAATACACACTCGAAGACACGTACGCACGCACCCATCCACCCACGCACGTATGCACACATACACACACACAACAGAGAGACACACACAAGCACACAATACATTTAAAACATAACAGAACATGATTAATGCATGTAAAAAGTAATGTCCATTGAATACTGTCCAGTTGTTATGCACATGTAGAAAACATTTTTAAATTGACGTTTTGTTCACTAAAAAAACATACATAATAACCATATAATAATAATTATAAGACAATATTAAACGAATTCATTAAAATTTATGGTGACTAAGATTGATGAACACCATCCTCCCCACGTATGCATGCACACACGCACAGAAATGTGTATATATGCACATGATAAAGTTAATTTCCACAAAATGCTTCTTAAGTATTCCTTCAAAGATAATGTCATACAGTTTGAAGAAGACAGTAGACGTCAGTATCATCATCATCATCATAATCACCATTATCATCATCATCATCACAGGTACATAAAATACTACTTAGATACTACTTAAATACACAACCTTCGTCGGAATTGACATTGTAAACAAACAACGCCTAACTGAAACCATTGAATAATTCATTGCACGGATATTTATCATCTACACATATATAATTCTTAATTTTGTCAAAAAATATTTTTAAATTTACAGAATTAATCCTTTTTTATTGATAGAAATAAAAAAATACACTGAATGAGACAAAATGCAATCCCTTTCATTTAAAAATTCAAACAATGTTTATTCTATATTGAATCATTGAACAATTGAACATTGAATCTAATTGAATCCTTCATTTCTTCTAGATACAAGAAAAAAAATGCTCAACAGTATTGTGGAGGTGAACAAATTAATGATACTGACTGAATTCTTCTTATTAATTACAATTATTTCACTGCATCAAGTTTATCCACAGTATGCTGACAGACTGCCGGATCGTATAGGCAATAGGATGAAATTTCCGCGAAATTATTATTTAACCAAAAAAGCTTACTTAGCGAGTGGTTTATCAATGGCTTCGCCATTTAATGAAAAAACAGTCAATGATGCGATGACATCGTCAGACTTTTCATCGTCACCGCCATTTTTTCAAAAAGAGAAAGAGGCTCAAAGATCAGCGGTAAATTTTCATGATAAATATTACTATGATGATGCATCAGTAGTATCGTCCCAAGGATCCTCTTCGGCATCATCGTCGGTAATGTTACCTGTGCTGAAAGACAGCGCTAACAGTGTTCTTTTAAACAAAAAGAAAATGAATCAAGATGGCGGAATAGATTTCCGTCAACGCAAAGAAGATCAATATAAGGAACAGATTCAAAAGCCTTTGCATTCATTGGCACAATATTCTGCTAAAATGAGGCCATTGTCACTGCCTCCATCATTCGCCTCTTTCACATCATCACCTCCTGTGATTAAAGATACAGTGAATCGAACGCTAGTGGATTATCCACGTCAAAATAGACGTCAACGTCAGCAGAAACAGAAGCAGCAGCAGCAACAGCAACAACACAAACAAGAACAAGAAGAGGAGAAAGTGACGCATCAGACGAATATGAATAATCCTTTATTAGTGTCGAAAAATGTCAGTGTAAGTGGGAGTTATAGTGGAGAGAAAAATTCTCAAATTAAAGGACGCTGGTGGTAAGTATACGTATGTTATTAGAGATACATTCTGTTAATTATCTTGTTTCATCCTTTTGTGTTCCGAGTGAAACACAGGGCTTCAAGCTTGAATTTTGAAGTTACCGTAACAGTGGTGTTTCTTCTCATGGGGTAGGATCACTGGCCTCAAATCCAACCTTCCTTCTTTACCGGACATACTAGTGCCTAAGCGAGGTTTAAGAGTGTATTGTCTGGGGATTGAATCCTGCACTACGTAAGGCGTGAGCATCTGTCAAACTGGTGAAATTTCATGACGAAATGTTCCCGTGAATACAGTTAGAATATTATTAGTTCTTCGGTGACTAGGGGTTAACTCTGGAGTAAATCTTTCGAAATTCGAGTAATATGTTTTGCACTCCACAATGAGATACGGTAGCGTAGAATATATTGGCTTGGTTTAATAATTACATGCAGTCAAATTTCAGCCTAGCTGTTGAACGTTGATATGTAGACATCAAAACCTGAAAATTTATGTTCTAAGCCTCTTCTTTAACACCACAGGCTTGTATCTATTGCAGATTCTCAAAGCAGGAATGCATAGGTGCTAAATTTTCCATAGTTCCCGGTGACTTATTATAAATGTCAGCTTTCTTGAGCTTGTATTTGCTATAAAACGTGTCATGAGGTAATAGCGAAACAGAAAAATTTATCTTACATTAAAACTGCATCAATGTTTAGGACTGCTGGTCTTTTTTGTATTGATGTGTGACTAGCTTATCATTCTAAATTAAGAAAAATACCGATATTCTGATCACTGGATTATATTCCTTCGACTTATTTGACTCACTTGGCTCGGTGAGTGGTTCAATTCCTGGCCGATGCTCTCCGAAACAACACTGAGTTTGCCAGCCGATGGTAAGACTGAGGAACAGAATAGGTTAGGCGTCGAGCTAGCAATTTCGCCCTGTAAAAACAACACGACCACTACTGGAACTTCAAATCTCGAAATTGAAGTCGTATGTTCCACTGAGAACAGATTTTGTTGAATTAAATTAGTAAAGTTCTGAAGAGGTCAAAGTTTTTCTCTGAGTAAATTATAGGTTTAATCGTTATCCCGACATCGGAGTTATCAGGAGCCATACATAAACTTTCAAATCCATTTTGTTTAGTCGACGACATTATTGAAATCTTGAACCTCTGAAAATTTCTGAATGACGCATAGGAAGCACCTATTTTGTCGTATATGCTTAATTTCTTTATTTTAATTTTCTGACTTATTTAACAGAATTATAACTTGTATGCCTTTCTTTAAGAATTTAGGGTGTTATGGTGGCTAAAAATTTAGATATCTATCAGAATTAGCATGGGTGGCACAGCGATTAGGACACTCCGCGACCATACACGTGGTCCGGTGTTCGATCCCCGGCTACTGGACGCACTCGTTTATCTCGGTAAGCCAGAAATAAAGCTGGTGAAGAGGAAAGGTTGGGTATGAGGCTAGCAACTTTATCCTGTAAAAATAAACACTGCTACAGAAACTTCAAGCCTCTAGCTTTGTGTTCGATCTTAATTTACAATTTGAAGAATCAGGTGCACCAATAGCCTTGACATTCCCAAATATTTGTAAATAATTGTCGGATCGAAAGGAAGAAACTTCGAAGTTGAAAATGCGCACGTTCATACTTCGAGGCTTCTCTTCAACTTTATTGAATTGAATTATTATTATTCGCTTGGGTTCCGAGTAGAACATAGGCCTTGGACAACAGAAATCCGCTTTCTTCTATTCTCTGCTATCCTCTTCAGCTTGCTAACTCCACGAATCATCATAATCTTTCATCTCCTCCTCCAACTCTCACGATCTCCTCCATGTCGCTTTCCCACTGACGACAAACAAGCGGTTTCTCACTGGATACAGTAAATTTTGTTTTAATTGTTTAATGGCAATTGCTTCAATGATGTACACACAAACGTGAAACTTGTCTTGAACTTTAATTATCCTAAAGGATTTTGATGCTTCGGTTTCATGACAGCTTTCGAACAAGTGGCGAGCAACTGCACTACTAAGCACTTTTGCACCGCCTATCAGACTCAGTTTTATTGGCATATACCCAGATTTGCGGTCGCAAATCCTTCTCTCTCTTCATTTGATGTATGTGCTTTGGCAGATTCTTGTAACTTGGTAATATGCTGTTAGAGATAACATGAAAAGGGGATGTGTCGGCCCTAGATTGTCTTAGTGAGCATTTAATTCGGTATACTGTGACTAGTCTAGCAGCTGCATAAATTCTCTTCAAAGCACCATTTATTCTATATACATATAATTCTTTCAGACACATCATGGCCATTGGTATTCTCTCGTGTTTATCAATGACGTTTTACGGATCTCCATTGTCTTGTAAACACTTCTTAGTGATGGTGAGTCCACCATCAAGTTTTCCCAGTACTTCTTCTAGCTTATTGGACAAAAACTACTGGAACTCAGATATAGACCATTCCATAATTCCCTTCACTACGAATTTATCGCTGAATATTTCTCTCTGTGGTTTGTAGAATTTCGAGATCCAGAAAATGGGACTTTCCACTTTGTTCATATTCCATCATTCACATTCAACTTCTTGACAAATATTAGCAACCGTATTTATGACAACTCATCGCTTTAATTACTATTCTCTTACATGAGGAAAGTTGCATATAAGGTACAGCTGGAGAAAATGAAATTATTGATAACAGACTCTTCGCAGAACTATTTGTTTTACTGTTTCTATTTCTTGCATTCCAAGTAGAATCCTTCTAAATGTCAAACTGTTAATTTCAGCTTAAGATATAAAAGACAGTTCAAAGAAGCCGTCGATTCTCATGACAGTTGTAAGATTGACGATAATGACATAGGAATTAAATCAGAAATTAAGTATCTTGGACTTATTCTCTCTTCTGATCTCTCCTGGTCTTCCCATGTCTTAACGATCTCCAGTAAAATATTTCGCCTGACATTTTACATTAAGAAGTTAAGGCATTCGGGTATAACTCAACCCCTCCTCCTCTTACAGTTCATAAACTCTTGCATCCTACCTATTCTTCTTTATTGTTCACCCTTATTCTTTCCTGGTTTGCTTAAAAAGGACTAAGTCACAATTCGTAGAATGCTGAAGACTGTCAGGAGGATGAGTGGTGTCCCAGTGGACTACATAGTTAACGTCGTTGTTGATAGGCACTTGACTTCGTGCAATAAATTTGCTAAAGGGACTTTGTCTGACTTGGAGCATCCACTTCACCCTCAGCTTTCACCTTGCATCTCCTCAGGTAGAACAAGAAATAACTTCAGAAAACTGTATGCTCGCACGTCTAAGTATAAAAATTCTATGATAGCATACTTCGCACGTATTTTATGGGATGAATATAGTGTCAGGCGAGAACTGACTAACCTTTCTTCATCTAGTAAATAAACAATTTCCTCCATCCATCCTTATATACCTTCAAGTTTTACTTTTATTATTTCTATTATATTTACGGTCCTGTTGATTCTTTGTTTTTACTTTCATAACTGCAAACACCAACTTATCTCTATGACTGCTGTAATCTTTGTTTTTTCCCTCAGCATATCATGTAAAGAGAACATTATATTCAATATTTTTAATCATGCAAGTATTCGTATACCGCATCGACCATACTGTGTGAAACAAGCTCACGGCAATTTTCACTTGTATTATTATCATTACCTTAGCTGCTATCATTATTATTATTTCCATTTTATATGCTGCATGTTTTTCTGACATTACCCCTATAGTAAACGTGGAAAATTTTCAGTGTGATTAATTTTATTTATAATTTGAGGAAATTAGATGCAATATTATTGTGATTAATGCTGAAAATTCCATTCTGTATCACAAGTACTGTTTTTGGAATAAAGTAAATCATTATTGCTATTATAGGGCTACCATCGATTATTTGGACAGGATTACTCTCTGGAACTGTCGGTCAGAGAGAAGTGTCCCTGAGAAGTCTTTTAAAATCCTGAAAGCCCTATACAGAAACACCTCAGGTAGAATGAGGACACAGAACTACGTGTTACTGGCCCCCAACCAACAATGGGGTTCGATAGGGTTATGCGGTCTCTCCACTTCTCTTTGCTAATGATGACGTTCTGGCGTCAGCTGCAACATGTATGCTGGATTTTGTGACTTCGCCGTAATGATAACAAATCACTATATCGTATTTTCAAATCCAATCTCAACAATTCAGTCAAAATAAGCTACCGTTGTGTCCAGAGGGGAAGGCGTAGATCTGCTTCCTGGAGAAAGCCTTTGCAACCTTGAGTATACAGACGATATTGTTTTACTGTGGAGGTTACCCGAATCGCACTTAATCAGTTGGCAATCAATGTCTATAAGTATGGTATGTGCTTTGCGCTGCCTACGTGCGAATTACTCTGACAAGATTGGCAGCAGCCTTTATTAGCACTCACCTTTGCAGAGGAGACGTCTGAAGCTGTCAACAAGCTGTCATGTGTCAAGGTAGTTGTGTGAGTGCTGGCGGAGGCACGACAGATGAAATCCCTAAACGAACAGTGTAAGCTAGGATGGCATACGCCAATTTAGGCTATCTACAGCGTCTTCTCCGTGTTAGCCTGTCTTTCAATGCTTAGATGAGAGCAGTCTTGCTCTACACCTGTGAAACCTGATGTTAGTTTTATTTTCAGCTGGTGTGTGCTAGCCATTACACTCAGGCTTCCTCGTATACTCAGGTTTCCTATCGGCTAATAATCGAGGTGAAGTATAAGAACGCAGACCAGCCCTGACACATTGGGTGATACTTACAAGTAGCCAGTGGAGAGTGATAATCGGTAAATTTCAATTGTCTTTGATAAAAACTAATATTAGCCATGTTATGAGTCATCATAGCCATCGCCATCATCATCGTTCTTTTGTGCTTTTTTCACCACATGAGTATGAGAGTCACATGTCTGACTCAAAAAGACGAATTCGCTTTATCAGTCATCGATCAACACGTGCACATGGCGTTTATTTTAGTAATAATATAAT